GATGCAGTCCTGATTGATGGCGGGCTCACCCCTTTGTTTAAGAGCCTCGTAGGTCGTCCCAACCCTTGTCCCACCATGCTTGAAGCCTTTCACTGGCACCGGCTCCACCTTTTTATCAAGTTCATCCGCCGGCAAATTGTAGTTGTACTCCCCATTGGCATCCGGAGTCCTCTCTAGCACCTCCGCCACCGAGCACACGTCACCTTTGCGTTTGGTTCGAAAGGCTCTCATTTGAGCATCCAGATGCATTTGTGCCGTTGCGCGGTCGGCCACCCCGTCCCGACCTACATTCATATTGCGGTTGGGCAGCAGGAGCAAACAAGGATTATGCATTGAGGCATACCCAGGGGGCTGATGCACTTGTCGGGTAATCCATGCCCTATACCACCTACCTTCGCTTTGGCACGGTTGCTCTAAACAGCATTCTGGCACAGTCGAACTCTATGTTACTCATACCTGCCTTTTCCGCAGCTGTAAACAACGTCGCAACTACGTCTGATGCCTCAGATGCCAGAACTGCTATGACGTCATTGTGGCTCGCGATGTACTCTCCACCCATCAGCTCTGTCAATCTGCAGCGCATGATGGCCATGGGGATTTGCATCCGCTTTCCGATAGTCACGTTGCGCTGCCTGATCATGTTTAGTATGGGCTTAAATCGTGGATTGGTGGGGAATCCTGCATCGCCAATTCCATCTGGCCCACCCAGCTCCGCGTTCTCCTGCAGTTGCCCCCACTCGACATGGACAGGGTGGGAGGGCCATAAGATGAGCGATCCAGGGGTGAGGGGGGGGTGGATGTGCTCGACTGGACTGGACCATGGGAATGTGGGTGACTTTGCGGGGGTTGTTGGGGGGCTGCTGGCCATGATAATTGGACAAATAATGTGAGCCATGGAGGGGAGACAGCACGTGTATGTCAGTTGGATTGGGGGCAACCAGAGGTGGATATGTGGGAGACTGGAGGGGTGAATTTGTGGTGATTGGAGTGTCGGAAGGCGGCTCAATGCGCGTGCGTAGTGAATGATGGGGGTGGGCCGTACGTGTAATGCATGGGGGAATACGAGCATCCGGAGGGGGGTTTGGTGATGGAGGTAGGGCCATGTCTCAAGTGACCCTTGGACAGATTCGGGCCTCTTTCCCTCATTCCTCAAGGGTCCTCTTTTGGCGCCACCATGTTTTTCACTTCCCAACACTCTACCTTCTCTAAGGCCACGCTAACCTGAAAGTATACCCACCGTCTCTTGCGGTCTCAACATTCTCTCCCTCTCTCTCCCCACTGTCCCAACCTGTTTCCCTCACAAAAGCTACACTCTCCTGTTTCTCTCACCCCCCCCCGGTCTCCCAATTCTCTGTCTGCTCTCTCCACCCTCTCACCACTACCTCCCAACTCTCTTCCCTATCTAATGCCACACTCTCTTGTTTCTCCACCCAACCCCCCCCCCGCTGTCTCCCCGTTCTCTCCCTCTCGCTCCCCACCCTCTCCCCACTACCACCCAACTCTATTCCCTCACTAGTGCCACCCTCTCCCCACTACCTCCCAGCTCTCTTCCCTCACTAATGTCACCTTCTCCTGTTTCTCTCCCCACCCTCCCCCCCCTGTCTCCCAATTCTCTGCCTGCTCTCTCCACCCTCTCACCACTACCTCCCAACTCTCTTCCCTATCTATTGCCGCCCTCTCCTGTTTCTCCCACCGCACTCCTCCCCCCCCTTTGTCTCTCAATTCTCTCCCCCCCACAACCTCCCAACTATCTTCCCTCTCTAATGCCACCCTCTCCTGTTTCTCTCCCCACCCTCCCCCCCCTGTCTCCCAATTCTCTGTCTGCTCTATCCACCCTCTCACCACTACCCCCAACTCTCTTCCCTCTCTAATGCCACCCTCTCATGTTTCTCTACCCACCCTCCCTGCGCTGTCTCCCCATTCTCTCCCTCTCGGTTCCCATCCCTCTCCCCACTACCTCCCAACTCCCTTCCCTCTCTAATGCCACCCTCTCCTGTTTCTATCTATCCCCACCCTCCCCCCGCTGTCTCCCAATTCTCTCCCTGCTCTTCCGCCCCTCTCCCCAGTATCTCTCATCTCACCGCCCCTCTCCAATGCCACACATCATGTTTTCTCTGCATTCTCTGTGGGCTTTCCTGAACTCTATGTTTTCCACGCTCCCGGCTCCCCCCCCTTACCATCACCAATGGCCTTCTTTGTCCCCTCTGTTCCCATTCTCTACCCTCATCGCAAAAACGGCAGAATGCGGAGTGGAGGGTGTATTATTGGCTGAAGGCCTGCCTCTGTGGTTGCCTCTGCCTCTGCCAGGGGAGCGTGGCGTGGCAAATGGCGCTAGTGGGCTCTGAGGTGCTGCGGAGGCGCATAAGAGGGAGTCAGCCTCACGCGGAATGCTGGGTAGGGGCGCGCGGTATAGGTGGGATGCAGGGAGTGGAGCGAGGCGACGCGGAATGCGTGGGAGGGGAGAGTGACGATGCGGAATGCGTGGGTGGGGAGAGAGACCCCGCAGAATGCGTGGGAGGGGCCAGAGAGGACGCGGAACGCGTGGGAGGGGAGAGAGACGACGAGGAGTTGTGGGAGGGGAGAGAGACGATGTGGAATCGTGGGAGGGGAGAGAGACGACGCGGAAGCGTGGGAGGGGAGAGAGACGACGTGGAACGTGTGGGAGGGGAGAGAAACGACGCGGAATGCGTGGGAGGGGAGAGAGACAACGCGGAAGGCGTGGGAGGGGAGAGAGACGACGCGGAAGGCGAGGGAGGGGAGAGAGACGACGCGGAACGCGTGGGAGGGGAGAGAGACGACGCGGAACGCGAGGGAGGGAGGGGAGAGAGATGACGCGGAACGCGAGGGAGGGAGGGGAGAGAGACGACGCGGAACGCGAGGGAGGGAGGGGAGAAAGACGACGCGGTGCGCGTGGGAGGGGAGAGAGACAACGCGGTGCGCGTGGGAGGGGAGAGAGATGGTGCGGAACGCGTGGGAGGGGAGAGAGACGGCGCGGAACGCGAGAGAGGGGAGAGAGACGGCGCGGAACGCGAGGGAGGGGAGAGAGGCGACGCGGAAAGCGTGGGAGGGGAGAGAGACGACGCGGAACGCGTGGGAGGGGAGAGAGACGGCGCGGAACGCGTGGGAGGGGAGAGAGACGGCGCGGAACGCGTGGGAGGGGAGAGAGACGGCGCGGAACGCGTGGGAGGGGAGAGAGACGGCGCGGAACGCGTGGGAGGGGAGAGAGACGGCGCGGAACGCGTGGGAGGGGAGAGAGACGGCGCGGAACGCGTGGGAGGGGAGAGAGACGGCGCGGAACGCGTGGGAGGGGAGAGAGACGGCGCGGAACGCGTGGGAGGGGAGAGGGACGGCGCGGAACGCGTGGGAGGGGAGAGGGACGGCGCGGAACGCGTGGGAGGGGAGAGGGACGGCGCGGAACGCGTGGGAGGGGAGAGGGACGACGCGGAACATGTGGGAGGGGAGAGGGACGGCTCGGAACGCGTGGGAGGGGAGAGAGACGACGCGGAACGCGAGGGAGGGAGGGGAGAGAGACGACGCGGAACGCGAGGGAGGGAGGGGAGAGAGACGACGCGGTGCGCGAGGGAGGGGAGAGAGACGACGCGGTGCGCGTGGGAGGGGAGAGAGACGACGCGGTGCGCGTGGGAGGGGAGAGAGACGGCGCGAATCGCGTGGGAGGGGAGAGAGACGGCGCGGAACGCGAGGGAGGGGAGAGAGACGACGCGGAACGCGAGGGAGGGGAGAGAGACGACGCGGAATGCGTGGGAGGGGAGAGAGACGACGCGGAAGGCGAGGGAGGGGAGAGAGACGACGCGGAACGCGTGGGAGGGGAGAGAGATGATGCGGAATGCGTGGGAGGGGAGAGGGACGACACGGAATGCGTGGGAGGGGAGAGAGACGACGCGGAATGCGTGGGAGGGGAGGGAGACGACGCGGAATGAGAGGGAGGGGAGAGAGACGACGCGGAATGCGTGGGAGGGGAGAGAGACGACGCGGAATGCGTGGGAGTGTTGCGAGGCTCGGAATGCGGGACGACGTGGGATGTGTGGGAGGGGTGAGCGACGTGGCTACACTCTGCGCTGGATGGCAGGCGTCGTTTTGGCGGAAAGATCTGGCTGGGGTGCGCGGCGTGGCGGGTTCGCGCCACTGGTTATTTTCATTGAGCGGCACGGGACCTGCGTCCACAGCTGTAATCCCGAGGGGTCTTATCCTACTCGACCGTCACCTCTTCACCCTCTCCCGCACGGCCCTCACCTCCTCATTCCTCTCGCTGGGCTCGGCATTCGCGCTCATGTCGCGCCTCTTCTTCTCGACCCGCGGTGATTCCCTTGGGCTCCCCACATGTGCGTTCCCCCCCGTGTCGTTTCCTCCTAACGCCGCGCCTTTCGCCACGTGCGGCGTGTGCTGGCCGCGTGTCCTAGTTATGTGGGCTACCCCTTACTTGAGCTTTACGAGGTCTAGCAGTGCCTGGGGTGTGGGCGTTCTGTGTGAGTCCAGAGTCTCATGTACCGCTGGGTGCGTCGTTTGTTTTGCAGTTGGGTTGCCTGGCTGCCGAACGTAATTGGGTTCGGTAACCGTACCTCTGCCTTTTACTTGAATGTTCCGGCTTGGAGCTTCTCCGAGCCTTGTTTTTGGGTCCCAACCACTGAACCACACTTTGCGAAGGTTGACATGGTTACCCTGCGAGCAAGTGTTTTGCAGTTGCTCCAATTTCTCTTACTTGAGACCCTGGCTTTAAGTGGCAGGTGCGATTTGGCTTTGCGCCACACGAGATGTTCGCGAGGTCGCCTTGTCCTCGTCAAGCCCGGCCTGGCGAAACCCCAAAGCGCCACAGGTGTCCACCGATACCAAAACGTATACCTAACGTCACCGAATCGTGAACAAATCTTGACTGGGTGCATTCACAAGCGTCGAGCGTCCCGAGTTACGTCAATTTCGCGCACATGTCCTCGCGAAATCTAGACGAGGTTAAAACCGGGTTGCTTTTTCATGAAATGAATAGAGTATGAACTATTTGGACCCGCCCTCAGCCATCGCAGAAACCAAATGGCCCTTTCTGCTCCAAGCCTGACATCATCCGCGATAGTAGGAAGGAAAAGCCGTTGTGTAAGAAGCGTTACATTTAAATGCAGCATAAGAAAACTCCTGCCTATTCACAGCAGTATTTCTATCTCAAAAGCCATCCCTGTGTATCCTTACGCCAAACCTTGACGAGAGTCGACGTGGAGTGGGAAAAGCAGATGGGCTTGGCTCATCAATCGCAGGAGAGAAGCAGCCTGGGGAGAGGGTGTTTGGAGTCGACTCAAAACGCATCCTTGTGCACCGCTACGCCAAACCTTGATGAGAGTCGCCTTGGAGTGGGAGCAGCAGAAGGGCTTGGTCATCAATCACAGGAGAGAAGCAGCTTGGGGAGAGCGTGGTTTGAGCCAACTCAAAATGCATCCCTGTGTACAGTTATGCCAAACCTTGATGAGAGCCGTCGTGGCGTGGGAGCAACACAAGGGCTTGGCTCATCAACCGCAGGAGAGAAGCAGCTTGGGGAGAGCGGACCGCACGGAGACTCGGGAGGATTCAAGGGAGACAGCAACGGTCGAACACAAGCAGGCCTCCCTGCACCTGCATTGCACACAGCCTCTGTAGAAACCCCCCCAACATTTGCAGCATTCAAGGCTCCAGAAGTAGTACCACTATCCAACAGAGCTTGCATGCTTTGATATTCGACGTTAGAATTGTCGAAATCCTGTTCTGGTCCGGGAGTATCGCCCCCACACCTGTTGTCCCAAGCCTCATTCTCCTCAACCTGAACAAGTCTCGAGTTGAGCCTTCCAGGCCCTGGCCCAAATTGGTAGGGAGTGCCGTTTCCTCCAATGGTACACATACTTCTGTCCGACACACGCCCTGTGCCTTGTCCCATTTCACGCGTACTGCCTTGACGAGGAAAATGCCCGTCTTGGGATTGCAGAATGGGTTGAGAAACAGCAAGAGCCACGACTTCTTCCTCATGTGACGTGGTACCTTGGAGTGGCTTTTCTCTGTTGCCAGGGAAATAACCAGGTGAATATCCAGGTGGAAAGCCAGGTCGAATGCCAGGCGAATTGCCTGGTCCCAGGAGAGCACAGGGTGCTGTGGGGGGCCTGGAAAGCACAGTTGAAAGCGCAGGGAAGCTTCTTGGAAAGCGGTGGATCTCAACCAGTTCCCTAGCAGCTTGCAGTGCCATGGCTCGCAGTCGTGCTGCTGCCTCTGCTGCCATGTCAGCAGCTTCAGCTGCTGATGACACCTGGCCAATCAGAGCGCAGCTTGTCTGATCAGAAATGACGGTGGCACCAGGAGGTATGGCAGAAGGCTGAGATGATTCCCCTGCCGCTGTAGGCGATGCTTCCGAAACCCCTTCAAAAGACAGTCTCCCTAGGCTGCTAGCCCGGTCGGCACCGCTGCTGCTGCTCCTGCTGAAGCTCCTGCTGAAGCTGCTGCTGAAACCCCACGCCGTCTCCTCCGAAGCCCCATCCTCCATAGTCTCTTCCCCTGCCTCATCGCCCTCTGCCGCCCAGCAATCAGCTATCATAGATCGGTTGCTGCTGCAGCCTTCTCTGCTAACGCCCCATGGGAGTCCAGCCTCCTGCTGCTGAGCACAAACACCAGCACCAACACCAGCATCACTAACACCTTCCTCATCTGTGTCGGCACCACATTGCACCTGTGGCAGCAGCAGCATGTGGCGACCCTCCTGCCGTGCGCGCCAGAGCTGTCCCACTTCTCCGCAGTAAATCTCCTCCGTTGCTTCACGCGCTTCTCTTGGCAATGACATGGATTTTCCGACGGCATCACCAAAGCCCGCAGCAGTGATTGGATCAGCGCTTCCCTGGCAGCTGCACGTTCTGCAGACGGTGGCTGGGCGAGAAGGGAACCACACACGGTACGTGCTTCCAAGCCGCAGCACCGCTCCAGGCGAGAGCGTGCTGCTACGCGATGTGACTGAACCGAGGGCAGCACCGGGGGGAAACCCCTGCAAGATTGACCCCGCAGTGACTGGTTCAGTCAGAATGCGGACCCCCCCGTCGGGAAGGAGGAGAATGATTGTGGGCGGTAGCTGCTGCTGCTGCTGCTGCTGCTGCTGCTGCTGCTGCTGATGATGATTGAAATGTTGTGACTTTTGAGGCGTTGCGAGGATGCGAGGGGTGAGTAAGCGAGCGACGAAACCGCTAGTGCCATTAGTTAGCACAGTTAGCCGCCGGCCAAAATTGCTGCTGCTGCTGATGCTGCTGCCGCTGCCGCCGATGCCTCTGCTGCTGCTGCCGCTGCTGCTGCTGCCGCCACTGCGACTGCCGCTGCTACTGCTGCTGCTGTTGCTGCTACCAATGCTGTTACCGCCGCCGCTGCTGCTGCTTCGGCGGCTGCTGCACGCTGATGCCGTTTTCTCTAACCCCAGGTACTGAATTTTCTTACAAGTCGAGGCAGCGCCAGCAGGGCTTGCAGAGACATCAGCGGCAGCAGCAGCAGCAACAGCAATGGGCTGAAAGGAACGGCAGCAGCTCACTGCAACGCCGGCCAGCGGGGAATCGTCGTCACTGATGGAATTGAGCCACGTGGCAGCACCAGAGGTGTGATCAGTACATTGTGAGACCGGGACCGAGAGCGACAGATCCTCAACAGAATCCTCCTGAGATTTCTCCTGAACAGGTCGGCTCATTTTCTCCTGACGCGGAAAATTATCCAGGTAAGGCTTGAGGCCAGTGCGTGAAAGGACGGCAGCACGGGTACGCCCACGCAGGCAAATGGGGGATTGAAGCGGATAACGCGGATGCAGCTAGAGAAGGATGCAAGGGAGGAGGAGACGGTGGAGATTAAGCGGACTCAAGGACAGTCAGTAGTGGGCCGTTAGATCAGGTGGTTGGAGAACTCCGTCCTGGTAATTCCGTTCTACTAGATTACGTCCGTGGGTTCGGCATTCCCAAGGGGCCTTCACGACCCAGACGGACTGGGATACAGACGGAAATAGGCTCGCGAGTTTAGTAAAGAGAGAAGAGACGACGGTATATAAGTTAATGCGCCTCTTGCTGGTCCGTGCTTGCATCTCCTTCGCGTGGTAGAAACGGGACGATGACGGGTGGCCAGCACAACAGAGGTCTCGCTCGCTGCTGTGAGCGAGCGTCACTCGTTTAAAATAAGCTTGAACGGGGGGGATGCAGCCAGAGCGGATCTAGCCTGCGCTAGTGGTAGCAGCAGTTCGCAGAAGCTCGCACGCGAAATCCAGCACCAGCCAGCGTGATGAGCTGAGGGGGTGGTAGCTCGCAGTATTAGTAACGGCAAAAAATGCTCCTGAAAAATGCTCGCAGTATTGAAAGCGTGAGACCCAGGTTCTACCGTGACCGTGATTCCCACGTGAGAGCCCCGCTACCCGGCGCGTGGTTATGAGGCGCCTCAAAACAAGACGTGAGACCCTGATTTCACCCCGTGATTCCCACGAGAGAGCCCACCTAGTAGGTACTACGCATGCAGTCGCTACGGTGCTACCGTACTGTGCTTGGGAGGCTGAAAAAGGACCTCAATCGACCCTACTGACGTCGAATTCGAGGCGCTTGAGCAGATCGGAAACTAAAAAGTCCGATTTTCCACGCACGATGGCTGGACTCCAAGGAATGACTACTCCTACAAGTAGCAGCAGCAGCCCTTGGAAACAAGCCTATACCGAGCCTGCTACTACCGGGCCTGTTACTACCGAGCCTGTTACTACCGACCGATGGCTAGCACTAACGCATGCCTCGGCACGGCTGGCACTGCGCACGGCAAACGGGAAAAAGCGTCCTTCTTGCACCGTTACAAGAAACGTCCAATAACAAACCGGTGCATCATTCGAGGCGTTTCGAAAAGGGGGGGTCTCAGCAGGCAAGCGGACCGGGAATCCTAATCTTTTGAGTCGACTCGAAAAAAAGCGTTCCAGCTTAGACTCGGCAGCAGGATGTGCCGGACGGACTTGGGCTTAGCCAGCGTCTCGTCTACTCGTCTCGTCTCGTTTAGTGGTACCAAACTTGGTGAGTCGCGAGAGTCCATGATGGAAAATGGGTCTGTGCGAGCAGATCCAAGTTCCTTCCAACCAAGGCTGAACGAGACCGCGTTCTCCGCCTCTCCTTCGCCTCCCTGTTTTTTTCCCGTGGTTAACAGCGCATCTAAGCTTGCTTGTTTGTGTGTGAGAGAAAATGGCGGACCAGATGTGAATCCCTCATAGGACGGTGTTCTATGGCTGACCAGATTTGAATCGCCTAGGGATTGGATGGAAAAAAGTTGAACCCTACTTCCACTTTCAAGGCACGTAACAAAGTCCGCCATGCGAAGTGGCTGCAACGGACTCTGGCGACTGTGTTAAAACCCGCGGCCCAAATTGTTCATACGCAGTGCGTATGAAAAATGGGTGCTGGGTTTTACGAAACGCACTGAAAAGCTGCGAGGGTGTTCCTTCTCGCAAATTGAAAATGTTCGTGGACCGTCAGTTTCGCCAGCAGGCAGTTCGACGGTTGAGATTACGCGACGAATCACTGGTGGTGCAATGGAGTAACGAATTGGCTTGAGGGCCGTCAGAGGAGAATCTAAGTAAAAATGGACGGCCGAAAAACGCACTGCACATGGAGTCCCAAAATGCTTGGCGCACTGAACTTGAAAGCCACCCCTGACTGACGAGAGCCACGTTACCCCACTCGACCCCCACGAAAGCATGACTTTCAAATGCACTGCATTTGAAGGCCGCGCATTGTAATTTGGGCCGCGGGTTTTAACCTGGCTTCGCTGACAAGAAGGCGACGAGTAGCTAGCGACAGAACAACCAGCGTGAAAACCGTATCCGTGACAAAACAACTGACAGCGGGAATCGGAAACGAAAATCGGCGGGGTTCAGGTAACTGCCCGTGACGACGGGAATTGAAAACGCGATTTTCGGAAGCGCGTCATTCCCTCCAGGTTGTTGGTTGCGACAGACTCCTCCACACATGGTCATCTCGGTCAAACTTGGACGGAGAGGCCGACTCCTTAAAAGTGATTCTTTACCACAATAAAACATGAGCTCCCAAGCAGAAAAAGTAAATACCCAGAATACAGATCTTACCATAAATATGAACACGAACAAGAAAACCACTTTTGCTTGTCATGGCAAATGAAGAGAATTGTCTTTCCATCCTCATGTGGTCCAAACAGGCATGCATCACGGGTTTTTTTCAGCACATTTTTCAGCAACAGTGCACTGTTCATCATCCCCCTACGAATCGTCGCCAGCCAGATGTACCTACCACCCTCACTCCTCTAATACCGCCCACCACCACCCCCACCACCACCACGATTGCTATACCCACCCCCTCCCCCACCACCCCCACCACCTTGATACCCGTGATGATCCTGTTGCCTGTATGCCCCTCCCCCTCCCGCTTTAGACACCCTTGGAGGCGCTTCCTCCTCATACTCATCATACCCTCCCCTCCCTCCTCCACCTCCTCCTCCCCCACCCCCTCTCCCCCCATACTCCCTACCGTAATCACTGCCCCTGTCGTCTTGCCCATCATCCCTCCCGTAGTCCCCTCCTCCTCTCCCCCCTCCCCCTCCGCCACCTCCCCCTCCCCCGTACGCTGGCCTGCTGCCACTGCTGTGAGAATGGCTGTCGTGAGGGTCCCCGCCTCCAGATGCAGCTGGGGCGTCTGAGTGAGTGTTGGGGGGAGGGGTTGGGGAGGGGGTTTATGGGACAAGAGTGAGAGTGAGGGAGAGGGAGGATGCCCCCGAATGCTGGCCGGCCTCCAGTGTTGTGAGAGTGGCTGTCGTGGGGGTCCCCGCCTCCAGATGCAGCCGGGGCGTCTGCGTGAGTGAGTGTGAAGTGGGTGGAAACGGGAGAGGGGGGGATGGGATGAGAGAGAGAGAGAGAGAGTGAGCGATAGAGTGAGAATGTGTGTGGGATGTAAAGTGACGGAGGGGATAGGGGCGACTGTTGTGGGGGTCAGAGCCACCAGATGCAGCTAAGCCGTCTGTGGGGGATAGGGGGAAGGGATACGGAAAGGCATATGTGTAATGTGATGCGAGTGGGAGAGATGGCAGTTGATAGGGGGTATTATACAAGGAAGAATGGCTAGCTGGAGAATGCGGGTGTCACAAAGAGGAGGTGTGTGTGGGGTTGCAGAGAAAGCAATAACTCGTGCAAGCAATAACTCTTTGAAACGAAGATGTGAGAACATGTGGACAGCTGTCCAGTCCAGTGGAGCCAGGTAATTTATTATAAAATATATATATGAGGGCATGATCAAGAGTAAGGGTGCTGAGGTCATTACCTGCAAAGAGGGAGTTGAGGCCTGGCTTCTTGCCCTTGCTCTTCTTTTTCAGTTCCAGCGCCCCACCTGAGAAAAAAACCAGACCATCACAAGAAGTCCGAAGAGGTGAACAGGGAGGGAAGGCGTAAATCTGCATGGTAAAAAAGGTCCAACGCCCCAGCAGTAACGTCTACCTAATAGAACCAATACACTGAACCAGAAAATGTCAGGAAATGTAAAAACACCACACAAGGGCGGGCCAAACAGAGAAATAGGACAGGCAGAGTCGAGTGATGGGAAACATAGGAGGAAAATGGGTGCGTAGCGGACCATACATACAGAGAGCGACACGTTAAGCACCATATGCAGTAAGTTGCATGGCCCAGCATTTATCTACTCTACCATGGCTCAGCATGTGTGTACGCACCTAGGGGTGAGTGTGTACGCACCTAGGGGCGAGTGTGTCTCCTGCACTATCTCCATGTTGCGGTAGGTGTAGCCCACAAAGTTGATGTCCTTGGATGGCAGCATCTGGAGGGGAAGAGAAAGTGGGGGGGAAGTTGAAGAGGGGAGGGGAAGGGAACAGACGGGCGAGTGAGTCTACAGATGCTTGTAGCCCACAAAGCTGATGTCCTTGAATGGCAGCATCTGGGGTAGAAGGTTGGGGGAAAAGAGGAGGGTGCAGATGGGGGAGGCGGGGGGGAGGGGGGGAGGGGGGAGAGGGCAAGGAGGGCAAGAGAAGGGGCGAGTGTGTCTCCTGCACTATTTCCATGTTGCAGTAGGTGTAGCCCACAAAGTTGATGTCCTTGGATGGCAGCATGACTCGCACACAAGTCATCGGAATCCCGCTACCCTGTGATTAGCCCAGTCACTTCCCTTGCAAACTTCTTCTCGACATTTCTGTGTGACTATTGGGGCTTCACAGTACAAGTCACCTTCACAGTGCCGGGTGGCTCATCTGGGAAAATCAGCTCACCTTTTTCTGGAGGCCTAGCTGTTTGCTTAGAACGATAAAAAATAAGAGTGCTAAATCCTGGGGAAAATAGTGCCTAGTGCTAAATCCTCGGGAAAATAGTGCCTAGTGCTAAATCCTGGGGAAAATAGTGCCTAGTGCTAAATCCTGGGGAAAATAGTGCCTAGTGCTAAATCCTGGGGAAAATAGTGCCTAGTGCTAAATCCTGGGGAAAATAGTGCCTAGTGCTAAATCCTGGGGAAAATAGTGCCTAGTGCTAAATCCTGGGGAAAATAGTGCCTAGTGCTAAATCCTGGGAGAGCTTGTCTCACCTTCTTCCAGGGCCCTGCCTTCTGCGCTCCACTGGCCTCAGGCACCTGCAGCGCAGAGAAGGAGAACGGGTACGAGAAATAGGAGGAGAGAGAAATATGATCGGTATGATCAGTAACAGAGAACGCCACCGTGGCAAGACGGGTCAGTCAGCCGGAGTGGAATGATGAGACGGACAAGACGGGTCAGTCAGCCGAGCCAGAAAGGGCTGTGAGGGTGAGAAGGACGACTTTTGAGTCGACTCAAAAGCACAAGGATGAGACGGGCAAGACGGGTCAGAAGACATGTCAGCAGAAGGGGTTGTGGGAGAGAAGGACGGCAAACGCCAGAAAGGGCAATTTGACATGCCAACACTCGAGATTTTTCTCGATTCTGCGTGTTTCCAAATCGTCTCACCACGTCAAAACTCTCAGATTTCTGGATGTCCCCTGTTCCATCTAACACTATAACCCGCTCACCTCGTCAAACCTCTCAAAAGCCCTGGGTGGGTGTCATCTGAGCGTCCTTGGAGTGTTCCCAAGTACTTCTAAGTGCGCCCAAAATTCACCTCATCAAACCTCTCAAATCTGCAACCATCCCACCTCGTCAAACTTCTCAAAGTTCTGGATGTCTCACCTCGTCAAACCTCTCAAATCTGCAACTGTCTCACCTCGTCAAACTTCTCAAAGTTCTGGGTGTCGAGCTCGTCGTTGACCTCCGGGAGGAAAGCCGCCTCCATCTTGTACAGGCGGTCCCAGGGGAGGCCGCGGAACCACGGGTGGTTCTGAGGGTGGGGCGGGGAAGAGGGGGGTACGGGAAAGGGATTGCAGGTAGGAGTGGAGGATGAGAGAGCTGCACCCCCCATCTTGTACAAGCCGTCCCAGGGGAGGCTGTGGAACCACGGGTGGTTCTGCATGTGACGCATGGCAGGGGCGGGGGGGAGTCGAGGGGGTATGAACAAGGAACCACAGGTGTGATTCTGGGTGTGGGGGTTGGGAAAGGGTGAGATAAGGGGGCTGGGGGCAGGAATATTGGGGTGAGAATCTGGGGGGACTGACTTTGGGGGACAGATCAGCCTTTATCGCGTACAGGCGGTTCCAGGGAAGGGAGCGGGACATGGTTGGTTCTATGCAAAGGATAATGAAGGAGGGATGTGGGAAGAGGAGGGAGGTAGGGAGGGGGAAAGGGGGGTGGAGAGGCGGGGAGGGAGGGGGGGGGGGAGGCGAGCTGGGCAATCCACGACTCACCTTGATGTCGCTGACGCTGCGGGTGCCCAGGCGGTGCTCCACGTCGCACAGCAGGCGGCAGATGAGGTCCCTGGCCTCCCGTGAGATGATCACCTCCTCGGGGAACTTGAGGTGCGTGCGCCAGTTCACAATCTGGGAATAGGAGACGACGAGGGAAGGAGGGGGGGGAGGGGGGGGAGGGGGACGAGGGAAACAGAGGGATCGAGGGAAGATCAGGGGGCTGGAAGGGGTAAGCCCAGGTCCCTGGCCTCCCGTGAGATGATCACCTCCTCGGGGAACTTGAGGTGCGTGCGCCAGTTCACAATCTGGGAATAGGAGACGACGAGGGAAGGAGGGGGGGGAGGGGGGGGAGGGGGGACGAGGGAAACAGAGGGATCGAGGGAAGATCAGGGGGCTGGAAGGGGTAAGCCCAGGTCCCTGGCCTCCCGTGAGATGATCACCTCCTCGGGGAACTTGAGATGCGTGCACCAGTTGACAATCTGAGTAGCAAGGGGGGCGGGGGGGGAGGGATTGGAGAAGAAGTAGGAATGTGAGAGAGGAGAAAGTGGGGTTTAAGGGACAACAGGAGCCCCCTGGCTGGCCTCCCTGGAGATGATCACCTCCTCGGGGAACTTGAGATGCGTGCGCCAGTTGACGATCTGAGTGGGGGGTGGGGGTGTGGATTGGAAGGAGAAGTAGGAATGTGAGAGAGGAGAAAGGTGGATTTGGAGGGACACGAGGATGTCCCTGGGCTCCCTGGAGATGATCACCTTCTTGGGAAACTTGAGATGTGTGCGCCAGTTGACGATCTGTGAGGGGGGGTGGGGGTGTGGGGGTGGAGAGAGAGTAGGTATTCAAGGGGTTGAGAGGGTTCGGCCACCTCCTCGGGGAGCTTGAGATGTGTGCGCCAGTTGATGATATGAGAGGGAGGCATTGGATTGGATGGAGGGGGCAACGGCGGATAGGAAGAAAGATGGACTTAGAAGCGGGAGGTGGACAAGGGGCAACAAATCTAGTTTTGAGGCGCCTCAAAACAAATCTTTCCCATCACATTTAATAATAGAAGTGACGCACCTTACAACAGGCTAACATGGGGCCGTCAGAGTAGAAAGGACGAGGGGCAACAGAGCAGTGAGCACTCACCACGCACTTGGTAGCAAAAGCGACCCACCTTACGACAGGTTGTCATGGGGTCGTCAGAGTAGAATGGCGGGTAGCCAATGAGCATCTCGTACATGATAGCTCCCATGCTCCACCTGGAGAGATGGGGTGAGTAAGTGGCTGAGTGAGTGGCTGGATTGGAAGAGGGGCATGGGATGGGATACATGAGCCAGAGAGGGCAATCATAGCCAGTGCACGCAAATAATATACATATCCGCATGCATGCAACATACAATACCACAAACACGCCAATACGCACCAATCGCACTCCAGGCTGTAGCCCTTCTTTAGAAGCACTTCCGGTGCAATGTAGTCTGGAGTACCCACTGTGGAGTACGCCTGAGGGGCAGGTGGAGGAGGAGTGAGAAAGAAGAGAGGAAACGAATAGAAAGAACGGAAACAGTTGGAGACGGACGGAAAACGTTGGAGAAAAATGGATGCATTCTGGAGTACCCACTGTGGTATACCGTGGTTACCGCTTGGGGGGGAGCAAGGATAGAGGATAGGGAAGGAGAAAGTGGGAGGAAAAGCCCTCATTGCACATGGTTAAACCTTGAGTGAGGGAGAAAGTGAGGGAATGTCGCCCTTACATAAAGGCATGGTCAACGACCCGACCCGGACCGGGACAGGACGGGCCGGGCCGGGCTAGGGTTGGGCCGACTCTGCTAACACCAACTCTGGCGGCTCCGGCCATGCAGGTCGTCAACGAGCCATCCTGCCCATCGCATTTCGCCCTGACGGGGCGCTTGTGACACGCCGAGTTTCGGAGACAGGCCGCCCATGCCCGTTGCTCAAGCCTACTTACATTCGACGACAGATAGCACAGCTGTGTGTAATGAGTCGTTTTCTGAGTCGACTCAAAAATTGACGACAGATAGCACAGCTGCTCCGCCTGGCTTCTTCCCCTCCCGGACTGGGAGAAGTAAAGAAAAGCCAAAAACCAAAACCCTGACCCCTTTCCTCTCACTGTTCCCATCCCCCAGCCTACCAGCGTGCATCGGTTCTTCTCCCAGTTCTGCAGCTGCTCCGCCTGGCTCTGCCCCGACCCCGTCTGGTATCTAGAGACGGGTTTGACAGCATGGCTGCTGCTGCACCTCCACGTCCACAGCGGAGAAGGCGACCTCCTCACCTTCCGTTCCCCCTCCCTTTGCCTGCCCCCCCCCTCCTCTCCAAGCCTCAGCCTTTCTTCCCTCCCCCTAAACTCGAAACCCTAGAACCCTCTTTAACCACCCCTTCCCTCCCCCTCTCCTCCCCTCCCCCCCCTTCTCACCAGCGTGCGTCGGTTCTTCTGCCAGTTCTGCAGCTGCTCCGCCTGGCTCCGCCCCGACCCCGACTGATTCCCGTCAAGGGACGCGTTCGACAGCATGGCGGCAGCCTCCTCCACATCCACAGCGGGGAAGGTGCTGGTGTCGAGGGGCTTGCAGAGGCCGAAGTCCGACAGCTTCATGTGCCCGTGGCGGTCCAGCAGGAGGTTGTCGGGCTTGATGTCCCTGAGAGGGGAGGGGGAGTGTGGGGCGGTTAGGGGAGTGGGGGGGGGGAGGAGGAGGGGAAGGGAGAAGAATGGTCTTCTTTGGCACCTCAGGCGCCCAGGAACGAGGGCAGGGGGCGGGAGGGACGGTGGGAAGGAGGGGGGGAGCAGAGGTTGCAGCCTCCTCCACATCCACAGCGGGGAAGGTGCTGGTGTCGAGGGGCTTGCAGAGGCCAAAGTCGGACAGCTTCATGTGCCCGTGGCGGTCTAGCGGGGGGTTGTCCAGCTTGATGTCCCTGGGGGGGGATAGGAGGCAGTGAGAGCGCAGGAACGGGAGTGGGGGGCACACGGGCGGGAGTGAGAGGGCTTGCAGAGGCCAAAGCTGGACAGCTTCATGTTCCCGTGGCGGTCCAGCAGGAGGTTGTCCAGCTTGATGTCCCTGGGGGGGGATAGGAGGCAGTGAGAGCGCAGGAACGGGAGTGGGGGGCACACGGGCGGGAGTGAGAGGGCTTGCAGAGGTCAAAGCTGGACAGCTTCATGTTCCCGTGGCGGTCCAGCAGGAGGTTGTCGGGCTTGATGTCCCTGGGGGGGTGATGGGGGGGAGGGAGGGCGGGGGAGGAGGGAGGGAGGAGGGAGGAGGGAGGAGGCGAAAGCACAAGGGTAGACAGCAACGGGATGAGAATGACGGTGAGAGAAAGGCAAGGGCGGTCATTTTTCAGACGTCTCAAAAAGTCCAAGAATACGGAAGGGAGACGGAAAAAAAGAGGGTGCTGCTGGTGTTGAGGGGCTTGCAGAGGCCAGCTTGATTGGAGTCAATTTTTACAGTTCTCAAAAGTGGCTGGCAGGTGCAACCTATTGCATACATGTATAATTGGCTATGTCTGCACACCACCATCCACCCACCTATGCACGCCGTTGTGCTTGTGGATGCTCTCTATTGCCAGCACCGTCTCCCAGACGAACCATTGATAAGTACACTAAGTACAGATAAGTCCCACCCACCTGTGCGTCTCTCTACCGCCCACCTGTGCGCCTCTTTCCTGCCCACCTGTGCACGTAGTTGTGCTTGTGGATGCTCTCGATCGCCAGCACCGTCTCGCCCACATAGAACCTCGCCTCGTCCTCCGTGAGCGTGTCCTTGCGCATGAGCAGCGTCATCATGTCCCCGCCAGGGAGGTACTCCATTACAAGGTACAGGAACTCGTCGTCCTGGAACGAGCAGTAGAGCTGCACGATGCACTTGCTCTCCACCTCGGCGAGCAGGTTACGTTCTGCTTTCACGTGCTCGACCTGTGGGCAACGGATTGCAGGGAGGGAGGGAAGGCAGGCAGGGCAGGGAGTGTTGGATGGATGTCAGTAGATGACAGGAACTCGTCGTCCTGGAAGGGTGTTTTTGAGAATTCTCAAAAACACCCTGCAAAATCAGGGAGTGTTGGATGGATGTCAGTAGATGACAGGAGGAACTCGTCGTCCTGGAAGGAGCAGTACAGCTGCACGGTGCACTTGCTCTCCACCGCGGCCAGCAGATTGCGCTCTGCCTTAACGTGCTCCACCTGCAGTTAAGGGATGACGAGCCGAGCAGGGACAGAGGTTGCTTGCTATTGAGGAAACAGCTGCACGATGCTCGTTCTCTCCGCCTCGGGCCACAGGTTACGTTCTGCCTGCCTTCACGTGCTCCACCTGCGGGAGGGATAGAGGGTTGCATCAAAACAGGAACTCGTCATCCTGAAAGGAGCAGTACAGCTGCACGATACACACACACACACACATACCCCACCTCTCCCCCTCCCCCCCCCCACCCAAAACACACAGACACAACCTTTCCCCCCCTCACAGCAACACACACACAAACCCACCTGGCCGCGCCGAAGCATCTCTGCCTTCTTGAGCTTCTTCATCGCATACACGCTGCCCGTCTTCTTCTTTCAAGAGAGCGAGACACGCACACACACTCACTCGCTCACGCACAGTCCCCCCCCATACACGCACCTGGCCGCGCCGAAGCATCTCTGCCTTCTTGAGCTTCTTCATCGCATACACGCTGCCCGTCTTCTTCTCCCGACAGATGCGCACCTGCCATGGTGCAAAGTACGGGGTAGAATGGGGGGAAGTGAATACGCAAAGGCCGTTAGTCAAGAGATTCTTGTATTGAGGCGGCTCAAATTGCAGCCTTATCGATCAGGCAGTCAGATCACTGAGGTGACTGAATGAGATATCTCAACGGATAACCGACTCCGCCCAAGAAACGGTGTCTGCCCGGAGGCAGAAAAAATAAACCCCTAGGGGCCCCGGCATGCGACTCGGGGTGGCATCAACCCTAAACTCGCGGATGCCTGTGCGAGTTTAGGGTTGATGCCACCCAGAGTCGCATGCCGGGGCCCCTAGGGGTTTATTGTTTCTTCTTGCCCGGGGCAGCGCGACGGGGTGCGACGGGCGTCGCAAGCCCATCGAAGGCTTGTCCGTTGAGAGATACTGAATGGGAAACGCAATCCGCGCCCCATTCAAAGAGAGCTGCAGGGAAGAGAGCTGAAACACGAGAAGCGTAGAGAGAGGTGAGCAAATAGAGGGAGCAAGGACAGCTTAGACTCTTTAGCATGTTAGACGCCGTCTCCCCTTAATCCATCACCTCCCCGTTCTCCCCCTTACCCGTACTTCCCATTCCTCCCCGTTCTCCCCCTTACCCGTACTTCCCATTCCTCCCCGTTCTCCCCCTTACCCGTACTTCCCATTCCTCCCCGTTCTCCCCCTTACCCGTACTTCCCATTCCTCCCCGTTCTCCCCCTTACCCGTACATCCCATACCTCCTCGTTCATCCGTACCTCCCCAAAAGTCCCTCGGCCGATGTTGGTGAGCTTCTCAAAGTCGTCGACGCTCATGTCGTGTCCGCCTAACCCCTTCTCTTCCCTACATGCCATCCCCTTCCCATTTCCACTCAACCCCGTAACTCCCTGAACGCCCGCTTCTTTCAAGCTTACCTCGCCGAAGGCCCCTCGACCGATGATAGTGAGCAGTTCGAAGTCGTCGACGCTCATCTTGTGTCGCTGCAGTCGGCGGAACTCCGTCTCGCGCCTCTCCAGCTCCTGCATGATGCGCTGCTGCTCCTCCTCCGGCACGTCCTCCTCCTCCAACTTCCGCTCCAGCTCGTTCCGCCTAAAATGGGGCAAGAATATCATACGAAAAGTGCAGGAAGAGCGGGGGGATGAAGGGAGATGAGGGATGGCAGCTCTCCGTCTCGCGCCTCTCCAGCGCCTGCATGATGCGCTGGTGCTCCTCCTCGGGCACGTCCTCCTCCTCCAGCTTCCGCTCCAGCTCGTGCCGCCTGGATTCAGAAAAGTTGAGGTTAAATCAGACACGGAAAAAAGAAGCACCTGAGAGGGAAGGGAACGCATGACGTGCTGTTGCTCCTCCTCGAGCACATCCTCCTCCAGCTTGCGCTCCAGCTCATGCCGCCTGGGATGAGATCAGATCAGCCAGGACAAAGAGCCGGGTTGAAGGGAATGTTTTGAGACGTCTCAAAACTAATCTTCTTTTGAGACGTCTCAAAAGAGATCAGAGCCAGGACAAAGAGCCGGGGTTGAAGGGAATGTTTTGAGACGTCTCAAAACTAATCTTCTTTTGAGACGTCTCAAAAGAGATCACATCAGCCAGGACAAAGAGCCGGGGTTGAAGGGAATGAAACCCAGGTAGGGTTTCGTTTCGGGGAAGCGAAGCTGAACCGGGAACCCCGTCTCCCGCTGCTGGAGCTCCTCGAGGAAGAGTGACGCTCTGCTCACCCTCCGCAAGATGGTCCTTTTAAGCCAGGATGTGTTTTAAAAAACAAAACACGTGAAGCTCGGCTCACTCTCCGCAAGATGGTCTTTTTCAGTCTCGCACCAGCTGATTCCGCCTGACGAGAGCTCGCGATGTGAATAAAAAGAGCGGTACGTGACCAACACCACTGACAGTCGCGAATGACATCAGCTATCCCTTTCCATGTGCCATTGTAGCGAGGTGACTATTGTGAGTCGACTCAAAAGTCTCATCGCTACAACGTCACATGGAACTGGCAGCTCGCGGTACGTGACCAACATCACTGACAGTCGCGAATGACATCACCTGATCCCTTCCGTGCTCCCACCTTCTCCGCGAATGACCGTCGCAAGCATCTGGAGACAGTGCGGGACGCCAAAGGTTTTCCCGTTCCTGCTCCTTCGCGAAGTGAATGGTTACCAGTCATGGAGTTGAGAATATTACCGTAGCGAGCTATGTGTTGTCGCACAGCTCAATGGTTTTCAGGTCGTCCAAACGTTCCGTGTGATAGAAGTGTAGTTTTGAGACGTGTCAAAAGTACACCTCTTTCGCGAAGATTACCCGTCATGGAGTGGAGTCGATCATCGTAGCGAGCTACGCGTCGTCGCACATCTCAATGCTCTTCAGGTTGTCCAAACATGTTCATTTCCTACTCTTGGGTTCGTCGGAGCAAAGTTGAAGGGACCTACGTGTCGACGTCGTGCTACGTGGAGCCAGTGAAGCATTATAACGGGGAATCGAAGAGCTACGCGAAGGTAATGACACTGTTGAATGACACTCCTCGCCGCCGGTTTTCGCATTAGAAAGGTCAACAATGTGTCACTCTTCATTCAGATCTTTCCTCGCCGTCGATCCTCGCATCCTGAAAATGCCGAAAGTGTCGGTTTCGCGATTTATAATCGCATTGCGGAAACGAAACGAAGGAACCTCAACCGTACCTATCCTTGCGTTCTTGAATCGTCTTCATCTGGTTGCGGTAGTGCTGCTCAATGTAGTTCTTCGCAGCAGCCACCTTCTGCTTAGTAATGTCCGAAGCGGGATCCATTTCCTGCTCCGGAGGATCCACTCCTTCCTCGTCCTCCCGGATCCTTCCCGGTCCGGGAGGCTTCGGCGCTCGCATGTTGAACCATCGACGGTTGTCCGCCATGGCTGCGGTCACGGCTATGGTCACCTTTAGCAGATACTTTCTAGCACCGATACAATTTGTGCGAAAACAGATAGGATTGGTGACCAGTAGTCAAAGACGAGCAGCAAAGCTAGAAACTTTATCGGACAACCTCGCCGACACGAGGAGGGGCGGAAACTGATATCTATGGAGTGGAGTTAGGTGGCGGAATTCGCGGAATTACTGCCTTGGGATCTTGGCTCCCAGAAAGCGGAGTTCCCGAGGGTTGGTATCTTTTGTTCCTCGTGCGTTGTAGAGGGGAGGGGGAGAATGGCGCGCGGAGCACTGCTCAGGAAGGGGGGAGGGATTTTGGCGCGCCGAGCTCCGACCTCGGACCTTCTGCCCAGACGGTGAAGGGACGATGGATGGATGAGGCCAGACGGAATGGAACGGAATGGAGGGACGGGCAACATTTGCTTCGACGCAAGCTTCAGCCATTGGCTAGAGAATATTCTGCCTTTCCGAACCGTGTGCTGAATCTGACGTTCCGTCAGGATATGGATTGACCGACAAAACAGTCCACCAAGGCCTGCTGGGTTTGGTTGCATGCTGCGGAGCGGTCAGATGCGCGTGAAATTGCGCGGGCCAATAGGGAGGTACGATGGCGGGTTCAGTGATACTGTTCGCACTCCAGTACAGCTGGGCTGGCTGACAAACTTTGCCTTTTGTGAAACGTCAGAAATTGTGCTACTGTAGTGTATTTCGCGGGGCAAACAAGTTACAGATTGCTACACCCAATTAATAGGAAAACATTCTCATCATGTGTAAGCACTAGGAAACTTGCAATATATCAGTTAGATGGAATGCCACTACCAAGAAAGTAATCATACAAAAACAATGCCACACGCTTCAATAATGCGGTGGTGGAGGTGGAGGTGGAGGTGGAGGTGGAGGTGGTGGGGGTGGGGGTGGGGGCGGGGATGGGGGCGGGGGTGGGGGCGAAGGGGGGGGTGGTGATGGTGGTTGTGGTGGTGGTGAGGATGGCCTAAATGGAACAGGCGAGGGAGGTGGAGGCGGAGGAGGTTTACGAGGGACCGGAGAAGCTGGTGGGCACTTTGGCTTAGGTGGCGCGGGGCGGCATAGGAGAGGTGGAGCAGGAGCTGGTTCTGGGCTAGGAGCAGGGACTGGAGCAGGGCTAGGAGCAGGCACAGGTGCAGGTCCGGGAGCAGGTACAGGTGCCGGACTAGGTGCAGGTATGGGGGCAGGGATAGGAGCTGGCACAGGTGCAGGAGTGGGGGCAGATACGGGTGCAGGTCCTGGAGCAGGCACGGGTGCAGGTCCAGGAGCAGGTATAGGGGCAGGACTAGGAGCAGGTACAGGAGCAGGGCTGGGCGCTGGCACCGGTGCAGGGCTGGGAGCAGGCACAGATGCAGGACTAGGTCCAGGCACTGGTGCAGGTCCGGGAGCAAGTACGGGCGCAGGGGTGGGAGCTGGAACTGGGGCAGGGCTGGGAGCTGGAACAGGAGCCTGACTCACATTTCCTGCACACGAACCTCTCGGCCCCTTTGGGCCGGTTTTAAAGGCGATGCAGCGATGTGCATCAGGATACGCCTGCTGGCTACCATCCCCTGGATTTAGATTCAGAACCGTTCCATTCTCTGGAATAGCAGCAGAGGTGAGTGTGAGGAGCACACAGATGTTTTCAAATGCAGTGCGAGAGAAAGGGGCGGGGATGCCACGCATTCGCAGGGTGGGGGGGTTTCCGGTGATGTAGAACTGGTTGGAGGAGTAGGACTGGACGAAACTTGGGGAGATGCAAAAGAATGTGTTGTCCCCGCTATTGGCTGATTCGAGAGCGTTGTTGTACTTGTCAATTATGGGAGTTGCTGTGACCTGGCCATCGGCAACACTAGGAACCCTGCAGCCCAGGTAGGACAGGTTTATATCAGCAGAAATTGATAAAAAAACATAGAAATTTTTGTGTTAATGAAAAGGGAATTCTTACTGGAATATCGGAACAGAGTTATCGCGCCCTTCGAAACGGAAGTCGCAATCGGCAAGAGGAGTAGCAGGGCATGCTGAAACGGGACTCTGCTGCAGTCTCCTCGATATACGCATGGATTCTTTAACATGAAAAGAATTCCCCCTCCTCAAAGCGCTGGAGTGAGTAGGCCATTGAAGCGTTGTCACCAGCCAAAACAAGAATAGCGGAAACAGAAAATTCATCGTTCCTCTGCTAACAAAAGTCGGCCGCAGCAGCGGCATGTGGTGAAAAAAAAAAACGGTAAGGGACCCTAAAGCGGAAGAACTGAGCGATGTGTGAGCTATCTCTTCTACCATACGACCTAGTAGTGTGCTGCTGGAACAGCCGCCATCAAAGTTCAAGAGAGAGAGACTCATGAAATTCCTTCTGCCAACGTGTTGAAATTGGAAATTCTTCAACGAGCCGAGTCGGCTTCGCATCGAGCCGCGATGAGATTTCTCTCCCAGCTTGGCCAGTTTAGTTTGAGCCCTCGCTGCCATTTCGCCAGCTCAGCCATGCCGAGGTAATCCCCACTTAGGTCTCTCGAGCCTGCCACGCCACCTGGCTCTCGTGGGATGGAAGACACGAAGTCAATGCCACCTGAGATATTCCTATTGGGCGCATGGTGATGGCAACAGCTTTCGCGAGGGGTATGATTTCGTGGGGGGGCGTGGTAACTTTTCAAGCATTATCGAAATTGACGACTTTGAACGAGACTATCATACCAGTTACCTGCTTTTAGGCTGTTGTTGTTTATGTAAGTTGATACCCTAGTAATCTAGTAAATTCCACTTATGCGTCCACGGGTCCTAGGAGGCTCCCCGTCCTACGACCTAGGACCTCTCCGTGTGCGTAGCGTACTACGTTTCGTTTTAGCACAGTCTCCTGTCCCGTTATTGTCTGGTCTTATTATAGTTAGTTCCGTAGTTGCCAACCGCGCTGGCCGCTCTCAGAGAGTTCCTTCCATCATACTCGCTACACATCAGCAGGTGATTTTTGAGTCGACTCAAAAATCATACTCGCTACACATCAGCTCGCACGTCATATTAGCAAGACGCCTCTACTTAGATTTGCAAGTGAGTCGTTTCCCTGATTACGATTTCCGTGAGCGCCGTCCAAATCAACGGTCAGGATTGCCTGTTCATGGGCAGTGAAGGCGATCTGCCGTCCGCCAGCAATCCCACTTCTAGTCAGGCTCCTAACCCTAACGAATCCGAAGTTACAGCCACCACCGCCATAACTGCACCCACCACCTTTACCCCCGCTCGTCTCGCTGGTTACCCTACAGGCACTAGTCGTAACTTGGTAACCAGCGCTACGTTTGCTGGCAGCGCCGCCGAGCCGTTTCCTAAGCGCGCCAAGCTCTCCTGCCCCTATCACGACTCGGCCGCTGCGACCGTGGTCCGCGGTTCTGCCCCTATCGGTTCGTGCTCGTTCTGCGCATCTGCCGCCGCATCTCCCGGAAAATCTTCCGAAGATCACACCACCGGAGCTGCTGCTTCCGCTGCTGCCAGCTGTCACGCCACGATTGGTCGGTTCGCGACCCTTTCGATGGGGAGGGGGGCAGGGGACGGTGCTACGGGTGCTGCAGGGGGGGAGCAGGCAGGGAGGAGCTACCAGCCGTCCGATCAAGATCGGCGCGGATCTAAGGGTCAGATTCGTACGGTGGAATACGTACGCCTTATAGAGCAAGCTCTGCGTTCGCTGGGATATGACTCGATAGCGGCGCAGCTGGAAGCGGAATCAGGCGTAGCTTTGGAATCCAAGCCGGTGGCGCAGCTTCGGCAAGCGATCATGGCCGGCCAATGGGAGGAGAGTGTCGCGATCCTGTCGAACCTACCAGGTTTAGACCTGTCTTTGCTTCGGCACGCGGAATTCCTCCTCCTGGAGCAGAAATTCCTTGAGCTTGTCGAAGCTGGCGAGGTTCGGGAAGCCCTGACGACCCTCCGAGGCAGGCTCGGGCCCACAGCTTCGGATCCGAAGCGCCTGCACCAGCTGGCGGGCTGGCTGCTTTGTGCCGGACCTGAGGACCTGAAGGCTCGGTCGGGGTGGTCCGGGGCAGGTTCAGAATCCAGAGGTTCGGTACTAAAGGTTGTACAGGCGCTGCTGCCGGCGTCAGTGATGGTTCCTGAGCGGAGACTGGAGCAGCTTTTAGAGAGTACGGTGGAGATGGGTCGAGAACGGTGCCACTACCACAACGTGTGTGACGAGGCTCTGTCACTGTTCACGGACCATTCGTGTGGGCGGGAGATGGTCCCCACTGTTACCACTCAGGTAAATAGGGTTACCGCAGTTACCACTCAAGTAGAGATGTAATTTCTCGGTTCAAACGTCCTGCTCGTGTTCCTTTTTTTAGAATATCCCACCACCTCGTGTTCCTGTTTTTTTTTTTTTTTTTTTTTTTTTTTTCTGTATCTCTCCTTTTCCCTCTCATTCACTCACACTCAGTATCAGGTGCTGGAGCAGCACGAGGACGAGGTGTGGTGCATGCAGTTCTCTCACGACAGCTTCAAACTGGGCACTGCCGGACAGCCCCACCTGTGTCCTCCTCACGCACCCCTTCCTCTCCTCCCTCTCCCGCAGGTGCTGGAGCAGCACGCGGACGAGGTGTGGTGCGGTGCGTGCAGTTCTCTTATTACGGCACCAGACCAGACGGGTTCTGCTCGACAGCCCCACCTCTGCCCCCTCACGCACCCCCTTCCTCCCCTCTCTCACCCTCGCAGGTGCTGGAGCAGCACGAGGACGAGGTGTGGTGCGTGCAGTTCTCTCACGACGGCACCCGACTGGCCACTGCCTCCAAGGACCACACTGCCATTGTTTGGCAGGTAAGGGCTACTCTTTCCCTCGGTGCTCCCAAGGAGATTTTTGAGTCGACTCAAAAGTCACCGACTGGCCTCTGCCTCCAAGGACTATCCTGCCATTGTTTGGCAGGTTAGGGCTACTCTTTCCCTCAGTGCTCCCAAGGACGAGGACACCACGGGTTATGCAGCATGCTGTTGTCTCTCTTTCCCACGTGGCACGTGCTGCTATGGCGGGTTCCTTACTACCGCTTTCGCCCTTGTCGAATCAAGCGACACACCGGCACGCGGGCACCGTACAGCACCATTCGGCACCGTGCGGCACCACAGTGCACCATCTGTCACCATGCGGCACCACAGCAGATGCGGTTCATACCTTCCGATCGACCCCGCCCTCCCCCCCCCCTCCCCTCCCCCTGTTCTCAGATTGTTGACAGCCTTTCCCATCGTCGCCTGCACATGCTATGAGGCCACTCCCTGCCTCTCTCTCTCTCCTACGTGGCATGCAGCCCAGACGAACTGCAGCTCTTTTGAGTCAAAAGCAGACTCTTGACACCGGGCATATTGTTGGTTCCGAGGCACTCAAAGTCAAGCCCGATCCCCCCCCATCCCCCTCCCCATCCTCCCCCCCTCCCCCCCCCCCCTCCCCCCCCACCCCCCACCCCCCCTCTTTCCTCCTCCCTTCCTCGTTCTCAGATTCTTGACAGCTTCTCTCATTGTCGCCTGCACATGCTGTCTGGCCACTCGCTGCCTCTCTCCTACGCGTGGTAGAGCCCAAACGACCCACTGCTACTGATGACACTGGGCGTATTGTTAGGGCGGAGGCAACTCAAGCCTGTTGTTCACCCTTCCCCCACCCCCCCGCCTGTGCTCTCAGATTCTTGACAGCTTCTCTCCCATCGCCGCCTGCACACGCTCTCATGCCATTCCGCGCCTCTTGACTTTTGAGTCGACTCTAAAGTCGCCTGCACACGCTTTCAGGCCATTCCGCGCCTCTTGACTTTTGAGTCGACTCTAAAGTCGCCTGCACACGCTTTCAGGCCATTCCGCGCCTCTTGACTTTTGAGTCGACTCTAAAGTCGCCTGCACACGCTTTCAGGCCATTCCGCGCCTCTTGACTTTTGAGTCGACTCTAAAGTCGCCTGCACACGCTTTCAGGCCATTCCGCGCCTCTTGACTTTTGAGTCGACTCTAAAGTCGCCTGCACACGCTTTCAGGCCATTCCGCGCCTCTCTCCTACGTGGCGTGGATTGTTAATTTCGTTTTGAGACGTTTCAAAAGGAAATTATCAACCCACCCTCTCTTCTACGAGCCCTGGAGCCCAGATGACTCTTTGCTGTTGACACCAGGCGTATTGTTAGGGCCAGGAGGGACTCAAGTCAAACCCGATTCTCCTTGTCCCGGCCGGCCCTGCTCCTGTTCTCAGATTCTTGACAGCTTCTCCCACCGCCGCCTGCACACGCTATCGGGCCACTCCCTGCCTCTCTCCTACGTGGCGTGGAGCCCCGACGACTCTCTCCTGCTCACAGCAGGCAACGACCCCTATGTGTGCTTGTGGGATGCCGCGACAGGGCAGCTGCTCCGCACCTTCAACAAGCACCAAGACGTGAGTTCAAGCCTTTAGATGCTTCGTATCACGCCACGCCACACACTACCCCTAATTCCAAGGCTTGGAGCCCCGACCACTCTCTGCTCCGACGGCAGGCGACGACTCCCATGTGCGCTAGTGGGACGCGGCCACAGGGCAGCTGCTCCGCACTTCTAACAAGCACCAGGACGGGAGTCTTTTGAGTCGACTCAAAATACCCATGTGCGCTTGTGGGACGCGGCCACAGGGCAGCTGCTCCGCACTTCCAACAAGCACCAGGACGGGATTCCTTTTAGGTTTAGCGAGTCCATCAAGCGTCAAGCCTATCATGGCCTCTCTGCTGCTCACAGCAGGCAACGACCCCTACGTGTGCCTGTGGGACACTGCAACAGGGCAGCTGCTGCTACGGACATTCATCAAGCACCAAGACGTGAGTTTTCACTGTCAGGGCACAACCCCCAGTCCCTTCTGGCATACGCGCCGTTCT